TCTGACAGACATCAGTTTTGAAAACAGAATTTCTAATTCAGTAAACCGAGGTGACAACAGAGCACCTGGCAGAAGTTAAACAACTGCTAGGATAAAACTGTTAAATATTAATGGTTCAGAATAATTAAATAATCAAAGGCAACAGCTATGTAAGGATTAACTCCTATTGTTCAATTTGCAAAGAAGATTATTGGTCATACATACTCATTCATAATATAGAGGGAACCAATTTTCACAAGACAGACACATCTAGTGCAAACAGAACTTTTTCTAAATTTAAGAGAAGACATACATATGCTTCTAATTTTATGTCTCAAGATTACATTAGTGTTGCACCTCTAGATAATAATAAAGAAACAGCAACTAGGCCTGCTAAAACATTTTATTTTCCCTAATTAGAAATTACTATGCTCCTTGCCAGTCAAATTTCAAGATAAATAGGATAATCCTTCTCACACAATGTTATTGGAATGAAGGGACATGCACATTAGAACGCTAACAACTAGATTTTTATTTATCCTATACTTACCAATAAGCCACAAAATTAGAAGAAAGTCTATTCTCTCCAATGCTGGACCCATTGTGTTTTTTTTATCTTCATTATAGACGACTGAGTACAAGTTAAGTAACAGCAAAAATGTGAAGTATGAAGCTCCATGTATAATAAATTTCATAAATGGAGTGTGAATTATTCGCCCTATTCGAGATTTTGGGGCCAGTAAATAACAAAAAGACAGCACTGGCCAAAAGAGTCCAACTGTCAAGACTGTAAAAATCTTCTTAAAGGTGTGTTTGCGGCGATAACCAGCCATTTGTCCAAACCAGACAGTGTTGAGAAATTGCTGGCAATTGGATTGAGAAACAAACTGCAATACAAAAACATTTTTATATCAATAAACCTCCTCGAAAGTAACGACTGAACTCAATGCTCAAAGCTTTGTTTAAACTACTAAGAGCACCAGGTGCCACTTGAGAGTGCCACTTAAAATGGTATTGAATTTTGAGGCGCATTTTAAAATTTATTTATACATAATTGTTCTGAATCAATTATTTAGAAATACAGGTGGGTTCAAATAGCACAAGTTCAATCAGTATTATCCCATGTGTTGGCTAGCAATGGAGAAAATGCTAATAAAACGAATAAACATATATCTAAATTTAATCCTATACCCCACTCCACAACACCCAAGCACACAGGGCTCTAGTTTCCACCAAACAGGCCTCCCACAGCAGAATTCTTCTTTTTCCAGAGATGTTTAGTATATACAAAATCTTGCCTGGACTGTAACCTAGCAACCCTTTTTTGGCCTTTCTCCAGCAGCAGAAATTGCCTACTTGCCAGAGAAACTCACAAAGTAATAATTCTCAAAAGGTAACTGTGTTAGCTCATCACAGCAAAGGTAAACAGGAGTCTTATGGCACCATAAAGAATACGAAAATGTTATTTCAGAAAAAGCATGTGTAGGATATCTGAAGAAGAGAGTTTTAGTCCTCTGACACTTATGCTGGAATAATTTTTGTTTTAAAGTTTTTAAGGGGCTACAAGACTTCTATTTGTCACACCAAAGAACTTCAAGGTCAGTGCACAACTGCACTGGCCTCCAAGGTTCCAATACGTCCCCAAAGGAACACAGGCTATATTGTAAGAAAATGAGAGGAGATTCCACACACACCACCACACACACGGACAAGAGAATGAAACAGAGTAGTAGAGCCAGTGGATGGTGCTAAGCTTGGTCAAGATTTCAATGCTAGCATGGACACCAAGGATGCAACTAGATAAGATCCATGATCAGTTCAGTGTTGGGAGATTTGATCAGAGGTCTCTCACATGTCATCTAATTGTATCCTCAAGTGTCTTCTGAAGGTGCTGCAATCCTAGCACCTGATTATAAGATAGCAAGTTAAGGGAGATGCAGCTACATTTGTTTTCCAAAGTCTGGTTCAAGTTCAAATTTAACAGATTCAAATTTCAAGTTCAAATTTCACCTTATAGAAACATAACGTTCAAGAAGATTGATCACTATAGTCTATCACATCTACTTGTTATGGTTCTACAATGTCTCTACAATACATTAATAAAGAAAATATACCTCTTTCTGATTATACTTAATAGCAAGTTTTAGGCGACTCAGATTCATTCTTTCTTCTAACAGTCCCCGTTTATCCACAGGCTCATCACTTGCTGTACGGTTTAATATGACTTCAAGTTCCCGTGAATTCCGTGCCTGGGCAAGCAAGTCTTTAGCAAAGGTTTTACACTGCTGGGCTAGTTCTTCATAATCATTTCTAGGAAATACATAAGGTGGTAACCATTATATTGCTTCTGATGCACTCCTCAGCATTCAGACTAGCAGCACAATCCTATGCAGGTTTATTTAGAAGTAACGCCTGCTGTACTCACTGGGTCTTTCATCAAGGTTAACAATGCATAAGATTGCATTGTAAAAACCTGTCTAGACTCCAAGTAAATGTCAGAGTAGACAAATTTAAATCTAAGCATTTCAATCAGTCGTTTAAATCATGATTTACATCAACAAGCAAAAAAACCCAATTTAAATCAATTTTCCCCTTGTATAAGTCACACATTCCCCAAACAATACTCCACAAGCTTTTTTTTAACCTCAGAGTTATGCATTTAGAGACAAGATGGACAGCTGTGAAATTAATGCATTTCTGTTTTGATATTTTCATGCACATGCAAAGAAAGGTCATTTACACAATCACTGAATGCCTCTACTTTCCCAGAAATAGTGGATGATAGATTCTAAGCAGTACTCCATGAGATGTAAGATGAGGCACAATTCACCCAAAGCATTTTTAATTTCCAAGGATTTCTTGAGAAGGAGAACTGTAGTTTTATGTGGGGCAGCCTCTAAAAATAGCTCCAAAGCTTCAATTAGTACAAAATACAGGACTGCTTACACAACTAATTGCTGGGATCACATCTTCCCACTTCTAAAAGAACCTCATTGATTACCTGTTTTCTTCCAGGGAAAGTTCAAAATGCTGGTTTTGACTTTTAAAGCATTACCCACTCTAAGGTTGTTGTCACATGCGCCAGAAAAAACGGGGGGGGGGAGAGCGAGGCTAGAGGCTATTTCTTCTGGAGGAATTTGACCGGCAGTTGCACGATCACACCTCCCTTTGAAGCTGCGGGCGCAGTCCATCAGCGTGTGATCAGACACAACTGCGGGTGAGTTCGGGGGAGGTTGTGCCGTTTCCCCCCCCCATGTGCTTAACTAAGGGATTGATGAGTTGCACCTCTGCACCAAGGGCTCCCTATGGAGTCTGTGATGATGCACATACTGTGAAAGGGGGGGGGGGGTTGGGACAATGGCATGGAGTTGGGATGGCCTAATCAGACCATCCCGAAACCATGAGAGTGTGCTGGAGCAATCAGATCAGACCGTCCGTGGCCTGTCGCAACCCATTTACTAACAGGTTTTCCCTGGTGTCTTTTAACTCTGCTTCTGTGGTGAAGCAGAATGGGTTGCTGATGGCTGCGGGGCACTTCCCAGATGTTGCTGTCTGATCGCGCCCTTTAAATCCACCTGGCATTTGCAACTATGTCGGGTCTAATTGTGCGTATGATCACAGCCTTACATAAAACTCACTGACTGTGGGAGAAGGGATCTTCCTCTTGCCGACTTCTTTCCTGTACAGTTCATAGTAAATAGCCAGGTGGCCAGGGAAAACCTTGCTGGCCTCCCCACAAGCCCTTCTGAAGGAAGCAAGTTAACTTGCATATGATTCCTGGCCAATCCTCATCTTCTGCAAGGCGAATAGTCCTAACCAGGGGTCTTGTTGTAGAAAAAGAGCTGCCGGAGCTCATTAGCATAACTCATTAGCATAACTTATTTGCATATGCCACGCCCCCTGACATCACCGGAAGTGACAGAAGGCCACACACCCCTGACATCACCGGAAGTGTGTCAGAAGGCCCGGCTACTTACCCTCCTGCTTCATCCTCATTCCCAAACGGAATGAGGATCGAAGCAGAGGGCGGGGTAAAGAAGGGGGCGGGGCTTCACCACGTGACCGCCCCGCCCACTAGAGGTTCTCTTCCGGAGCTCCGTACCTGAGAGCTCCCCCCCGACTAGAGCCCTGGTCCTAACAAGCAGCAAGGTGCTGCTTTGCCTGTTTGCACATTTGGGATTTGCCACCCAGACTCCTCCCAGAAATGCCACTAATTTGCTGTAGTTTGGGGAACAGCTCCTTAAAAGTGCAGTCCCGTTGTGGTGACTCCAAGTTTGGGTACAGGATTTTCTTGTCCCGACATTGACTTTTTACCAGTCACGTTTTTGTGACCTAACCTACCTCACAGGACTGGTGTATAACATGGATGCCCTGATGTCCTTGGAAGGATAGGATAAAAAGGCACTAGATAACAGATTCATGGTTTTGAACCAGAGTGCTTGAAGATTCTTTTACTCCCATATGGTCCTGTTCAAGAGCTAAAACAATATCAGACACCCTGCCCTGGATGCCCCTACCATCAGGGGGTGTACCCCGGAGGCTAGTGCCACTTCAATGGTGGCATCCCACCTTTGGAACAACTTCCCTGCCATTGCATGTCTGCCTCCTGCTCATCTTACTTTCAGGTGTCAGGTTAAGACCTTTCTGCTCAACCAGGCTTGTTAGAGAGTGGCTTTGCTGTACTTATACTGCAGATGGATTTTACAATGTTTAAGGTGCCATGTTTTATGTTCTTTTACAAATGACTTTTTGTCTCTTATTGGGTTTTGGTTTTATACTGTTACTGTAACCAGCTTTGGAAACTTCTAATGGAAAGTGGGATATTACTTCAGAGAGAAAACAATTTCTCCCCCTGTAAAATCATTGGATTTTGAAATTGCTTAATGAATTGTGTCTAAATATTCATTAAGGTTTGGTTAATAGTCATGAATATTCTTAATTTGCCAAAGGAATACATGGCCCACTACAACACAATTCCTGACCTCAAAAGTCATTTTTTCTCCTCCTGAAGTGTTTTCTTAAACAATAACACAAGCTTTAACTCAGTGACAGTGGATAGCTTTCCAGTCCTCAGGTTCCAGAAAGACGCACATGGACTATGTCACTTCGCGTGCGACAAAAAGTGGAGGTACAATTGAGAAATTCTACTGGAACTCAGGGGGACGGAATGTGGCTGTGGCAGTTAGGCTCTTTAAGGCCAAACCTCTTGCCCAGTTATTGTAAGGGCCCTTCCTTTAAGCACTGGCTGCCAATAGCATACTGAATCCGTTTCAAGGTGCTGGTGCTTACCTTTAAAGCCCTATATGGCCAGGGTCCGACATACCTGAGGGACTGCCTTTCCCCACATATACCCCAGAGAGCACTGAGGTCAGGGTCACAGAATCGTTTGACCCTGCTGGGCCCCAAAGAGGCTAGGCTCACCGTGATGAGGGCCAGGGCTTTCTCAGTGGCGGCTCCTTACTGGTGGAATGAGCTCCCGGAGGAGATCAGGGGCCTGTGGGATCTATTGCAGTTCCACAGGTCCTGCAAGACAGAGCTCTTCCACCAGGCCTTCAATTAGGAGCCGCCCCTACCACTACCATCAATGAGCCCGGCCCTCAGTACCAACATCTGGCCTGTTACATCAAGCGACTCAGAACGACACTGAGCTGGAATCTAGTTTTCGGATACATCTTAATACGCCATCGTTAGCAACAAACTGTAGAACTGAATAGCACCTTATGATTTTATGTTTTAACTTATTATGAAATGGTGTATATTGTTTCATTGGTTTTATTGGCAATTGGGCCACTGCTGTAAGCCGCCTTGAGCCCATTCGCGGGGAGGGCAGGGTATAAATTGAATTAATAAAATAAATAATAATATCTTCATATCAAACTTATTGGCAGGCATTCGAAAAAGTTCAATCCAAGTTTTTATGGCATATCCTACAGGTCCTGTCTGGTGTTTCAAATGCACTCATTAGGGTGCAAACTGGCATGGTTACCCTAAAGACTTTATTGTGGATTGCTGCTATCCTACAGGTAAAGGTTCCCTTGCTCGAAAGCCAGTCGAATCCGACTCTAGGGTTATGGTGCTCATCTCCGTTTCAAAGCCGAAGAGCCAGCGCTGTCCGAAGACATTTCTGTGGTCATGTGGCCAGCATGACTAAACACCAAGGCGCACAGAATGCTGTTACCTTCCCACTGAAGTGGTACCTATTTATCTACTTGCAATTTCTTGCTTTCAAACTGCTAGGTTGGTAGGAGCTGGAACTAGAGACGGGAGCTCACTCTGTCATGCGGCACACTCGGGTCTCGAACTGCTGAACTACCGACCTTCCACACCCTGCAGTTCAGCGTCTTAACCACTTGAGCCACCGCAGCTCCTGCTGCTATCCTATACTGGTTCAAATTAGTGTCCAAGCCCATTGGTTTAACAAGCTTGATACTGAGAGACTCTATGACACCTTATTGGACTAAGGAAGCTGAGCTTAAATTGGGTTATTATGGGCTCTCTAAACAGTTTATGATGCAGCTGGAATATAGTTCTGTCAAACCTTTTCTTAAACAAAGAATCCTGGATATTGAAAGGCAACACAATCTGTCCGAGATTAACTGCTATCTTCTAGGTATAGAGAACTTGAACCAAATATCACTGATGCCATACCTACAGAATTTAGATAAAGCTGAGTATAGAAGAGCTTTTACTCTTTTGAGAACAAATATGCTCCCTTCAGTGGTTACAGAGGGTAAATACAAAAGGTGTCCCTATGACGAATGTCTGTGCATCTGTGGGGATGGAAGGATTGAGTCGAGGGAACATGTTCTTTTCAAATGTAAACTTTATCAGAACTTTCATTCTGTTTATTTAGTGCCAGTTTGTGTCCAATTTCTGGGAAGAAATATTAGATTTTATTTTGACAAGCTTTTAGCCGACAGGAATCAAGAAATTTCTTTAAAGGTGGCAACGTTTGCTGTGAGGGCCATAAGATATCATCAACATTTTTTAGATGGAAATACCTAGCTTAATTTTATGCTTAAGATTTTAAAAGGGGTGTTCAATTGGACACCAACAGTGCAGGGCTTCCTCCTCTACCAGAAAAAGGCATCTCACTTAATGGGTAACTGGATCCAGCTCACAGTCAATTATGCAGTTATATCCAAATCAAAAAAATACACCACTGATTTAAAACAAATAATCTTAGCTGAACATCTACATTAGATGTCTATTCCTTAGCAATAATAGGACATTTTATTACATACAAGATTCATATTCTTCTGTCATTTACAATTTGTGATTTGGAAATAGCTGATTTAGTGTCTGCATCCAATTTTATTTACATACATGACACCAAAAATAAAACAGTATTAAAAAACCAACTTTATCTGTACCTGAATTCAACTTCTACAAGGCTAAGTTCTTTTAAGTCTGCACTAAGCTCAAAGGCTCGTAAAATTGGATCCTCCTCAGTCAACATTATTAAGGCAGGACTGGCCAAACACCGATATATATCAAGACGAAATCTGTGATTAAAACATCAAAGAAAACATTGTAAGGCAGCCAATTTTCATTTGATGAGTGTTTTCAATTCACTATGAAATATGCATACCTTTTAAAGTTTAGCCTAAAACTAATTTCAGTAAGAAAAAGAAATCTGAAACAACCCGTGTCCTCTCCAGGCCTATGTGTACTAGCAAATTACTTTAGTGATCCTCCTACCCGTATAACCTTTAAAAAAGACCATGGCTTGCTTCCATCCTTTCCACCCTTTTTTGTGCTGCATTACAGCATTGTATAACATCAGAACAGCATGGGAAGAGGGCAGAAATTCTTAAATCCATCTTGTTATTTGACATTCAAACGACCACAACAAAAATTCCAGAAGCTATCACCTCATTCACAAACTGTTACCACGCCAAGATATATGAGTACCATATAAAAAAGCAGCCAAGCCTGAATAATGAAACAGCACAAAATACAAGTAATGTCAAGAACTTCTACTAAGCCCCCACATAGTCAAATATGTTGCGATCTAAAATCATCTGGGAAATATTCAATCCTACTTGTTAATTTAGTAAAAAGACCCTACTATTGATATTCAGTTCATATGCATACTTACTGCAGTGAGATGAGAATTCAGTGCTATCACTATGACAGTGCTGCACACACATCAATTTTTTTACTGGTGTGCTTGTATGCATATATGGTAGTGATTTGCAGTGACCTACAAGAAGAAACAGCTGTCCCAGTTTACAGCATCCTTGCCTGGTAACTTGAAAACTGAATACAGACTAATGTTTCTGTAGGAGGAATTTCCACCCATGAAGCACAATTTTCTTGCATCATACCTCCCACTCCAATCCAAAATGGCCCCCCAAACAACAGCATTTCAGAGACATCTGGGACTGCAGAGCAGGGGGGGGGGGCAAAGCTGCACTCCACAGGTAGAAATCCTTCCATCTGCAGATATGTTTGACTGGATCCAAGCCCTTTCTAACTCACCGCAAGCAACTAGGCAGATGGCTATTTACAAGGCTGCACTGAACAGCTTTGGGAGTACTGCTTGAAAGAAAAAACAGCATGCAAACATAAAGCGGTAATTACTGTAACCTGGAATGTCGTAGACTATCTTTTTTATTCTTGGCTGTACATAATGTGCATTCACAGCCCACAGCATGGGGTTTGGGTAAAGATACATCTTGCTTTAACAGCATAGTAAGGATTTCGTAGTTGTTACGGTGAGCAGCTAAAATGACAGGGGCCACATCCATGGTTGTTGAATATTCTGGATTCTGAATACGTTCCATTAATTTCTGCAACAGACAGAAGTAAAAATGATAAACTAATGTAAAGCTCAAAACTAAAAGATGCCTCATCTGAAACCAAAAGTATTGTTTCTTGAGATTTCCTGTATTGTTCTAAATTTGTTGTGAAATTCTAGCTTCTAATATATTCATTCTTCGTCCCCCAATACTACCAATATTTAGTAGACACAGCTCTAATAGCTAGAACGAGAAATAACAGTGGAAGATCATGAAGATAGCAAAGTAATTTACTTTTATCCAAGGGTCCATGGATTCCCAGTTCAGCTGCCCCCTATGCCACATCCCAGCTCTTGGAAGTTATGGGGGGAGGGGGGGACAGGAGAAGTGAGAGGTGGAAAACCCCTGTTCCATAAGTTCCATTTCTTGAAGCTATACCTTAAAATTCAGCATTATGCTTACAGTAGTTAGCTTAATTTGAATGAAGACAGACTAACTTAAAATTCAAATACAGTCACGATTCAGGGTTTTTTGTAAGCATATGGGGGACTCCAGTAAACGTACAGTGGCCCCATTCCCACACGGATTTTAACCTTAACATAAGATTATAAAATATTGTAAATATTTACTCCTTTATAGTGCTTTGTTTTTAAAGGTTCATTATAAGCAATAGTCAATATATCTAACAGTAAACTGAATATCCCTGTACCGATTATAAGAAGACAAGGTTGGGGTTCCACATATTCAAGGTACTCCTTAAATATGCAGAAAAATATATGTAAATTAATCAACTTTTTAAAACATGGTCTGATGAGGATTAAATATGCTCCAGAAGAAATGGAATCTTGAAAACAGCCAAGAGTCCGTTAAAGAGAAAGAGGGGAGGGGAATCAACCTGCTCAAGCCCTTGACAGTTTACAGCATACCAAAGAGGAAATTCTGAACAGTGGGATGGAAGTTCTAGACTGGTTACCTCTTCCTGTGGATTCCTCGAGGGCTTGCAGACTGTCACAGTATTTAATACTTTAGGAATTCTCAGGAATGCAGAAAAATATTAACCAAAAAGGAAATAAAGCCCAAAAACTAGCTATACGAGAGCAGCTAAGTCGGGGATCTTAGAGAGGGACAGCTCCTCTATGACGCTTTCCTTAAAACAACCAGAAGCATGTGCACACTGGACAGGGCTCTTATTTGCAGCAACATTTAAGTGATTTAAAAAGTATAGACGGGTTATCAACCTACATGCAATCAGTCAAACTGTAAATGAAAATTTCTGGTGACTCATGTCAGTTTAAAATTTAATAGAAATAAAGGTTAGCACTACTGCTTAATGCTGAAGATTATTCTGCCAGAGACTAAAAAAGACTACAGTTCTTCTTGTACATGCATACAGGTCACAGCTAATCTATTTTAGGCTATATCTAAAACATTACTGATGCAATATATTCTCTTGTTACAGTATTCCAACAATTTATCTTTAAAATCTCATATTTTAAAACAAGGACAAAAATAATGCTTCTTTTCAGTTGCACAATCCAAATACTCTTAAATATGTTCTCCAAAATTTCAGATAACCAAAAGTTTCTTATTATCAAATAGTATAACAAAAATGTGTTCAGCACAGATATTTGAATGATGTAAGGTTGACATCTGATGTGCACTTATAATTTAAATATATATTACTAACAACAATTGTTGGTCTAGAAGATCGTTTTGGTCGATGATTGAGTAGTATGTCCACAGCTCCCACAACTTCTGAGTCAATGGCCACCAGGAGTGCATCTGTGGACTGAAAGTAACGAAATGTCAAATCAAAAATAATAATAAATAAGCATATCAGGAAAGACAATATGAATTTTAGAATTATAAACTGAAGTAAAAGTAAGGAATACAGTTTTCTTTTTCAAGGACAGGAAAAAATAAAATAGATTCTTATTTATTAAGTATTTTAAACAAGACGTACTACCTGGCACCCATAATCCAGAAGTAATTGTAGTATGTCTAGATTCTCATTTTCAATGGTTATGGTAACAGCATTTCTCCCAAGTACATCCACACAATTAATGTTCATTTCACCAGAGCTATTCTCTTCCAAGAGTTTCTTCACCATGTAGTAATCACCTATATAAATAACATACAAAGAGTTGTTCAGATCCTTCAGGATATTTTAATTTCCAAGTATTTTAACACACAATACTGGGAGATGTTTAACAAGTGTAAGAATTTATTTCTATTTTAGGGGCCCCTGCAAGTTCAAATCTGTTGCATATAAAGCAAATAATCCCCTTAAGTCTGCAACATTTGACAATATATATTAAGGCTCCATAAACTGCGGGCACAAGGACCACTCCACCAAGCTCTGAACCACTGTGCTCTCTTCCCCTTAACTCACTTTTTCTTAGTTTTTTGTATTGAACATCCAGCCAAATGAAAAGTTCTGGAAACTCAAAAGCTTGCAAGCTATGTGGTAACACACTTTGTTTTGGAATAAGTTGTTTGGTCTTAATAAAAGATATTAATTACTTTCCCTTTGGGGATTTTTCTGCTGACCATCATAGCTACCTTTGTCCATGCTTCATTGTGCAACAGATACTCTACCATTTTGATCCAGAGAGGCCAATCCGCTTTTGGAAAAATGGATACATACCCCCATACTTAGTATCCATAGTGCAAAAGCACTGTTCCTGCATCTCAAAAGGACTGCTTAACCTAACAGCTGCCAGCTGTGACACCATCAATCAACTGCTAGATTGGTGGTCCCCAACATGGTACTCATGGGCACCATTGCACCAGGTGACACCTTTCCTGGCATCTACCAAGTGCTTTTAGAAAGTAGGTAGGGCCAGGTGGGGCTTTTCCCAGCAAAACTTCTGATTGGCCATTTGGAATTTGAATGGCTTTCTGAAAATGTTGCTTTGGCAGTAGCTGCCATCATAGCACAAGGATCTTCATTATGTGACTGAAAGTAAAATGTACCAGTTATTTTGTGTCTGGCTCCACCTCATGTGGCAGCCATTTTGTGGCTGTGCCCACCACGCTGTGTCAGAATTCCAAGGGTGCCCAAAAGCTAAAAAAGTTTGGGGACTCCTGTGCCAGATGATGACAAAAACTTGGCACCTCCTTCACCTGTCTGACAAAATGATCAGCACTCATGACACCCTGGAGAACTAACTTAGCAGAATTGTATTGAAACTTCTGCTTATCAAAGGACTTTAAACCTGAAGTCCTGATATATTTTAGGGTGACAGGTTGGTCAAGACAAACTAAAAGAGCTAAAGTGTGAATCCACACAAACCAGGGTATCACTGCCACCAGTCCCCTTATTTCTCTGTCAACCAGAGACCAAGGGACTAAGCCTCTAGCCCTCCTGGCTCTAAGAACAAGGAAGTCAACCCTGTAAAGTAGGACACTTACAATATGAGCTCCAGAAAACAGTTACTCTCGTAGCTGTAGCAAGTATGGACTAAAGTACTAGATTCAAATTGAAGCCCCCAAACCCAAGAACAGCACAAGGTATATTTAAAGTAGTTTATTAAAAGATTGTACAATATACAATAAAAGAGCAGTGAACCCTGAGGACAAAATAATAAAGCTATGTATCTAACCTAACCACTTTTACAAACATTGCTTTTAAATCCAGATGTTACTTTTAAAAGGTTGAGTCCAAGATACTTTCTAAGTCCACGTCAAACAGGTATCTGGCCAATAAGGTCCACCCAGAGTAAAAATGTGTGCCAAAGTTAGATGTAATCCAGATAAAGAGCAAAAACTAAACTGAAGAATCTTTATTTATGCCCAACGACCTGCACTGTCATGATTTGTTAACCAATTAAATGTATGGTCAATGATGTAACTTGAACAATGATTCCTATTGCTAACCAGGTGCAGCTGTATAAGGTCCAATTAAACAAAGTCCTTCCTCCAACAGATTGAAATGTGTAGGCCGACCCCATTGACCTTGAAATTACTAAACCGGATGATCTGCCTGCCATCTGTGAAACCCTCCTATCTCCTTCTCTCTCTCTGAAGCCACAGGCAGCTTGACTTTGGTTTCTCAGAGAGAAGAAAACCTTCATGATTTCTAGGCCTCAGCCTGAACCATTGTTTGAATTTTGACAAGAGACTACGAAAAAGGCCTGGTCTCTTGACACCACTACATTCAGAATGCAGAAGCTAAGTATCATAGCACACATTTTAATGGACTGGGCAAGATCAAGTGGTCTCTGGTCATCATTAGGCATTTAAAAAGCAAATAAACAATGAAGAGACCAAAAGCAAACAACATACCTATTATTTTATTCAACTGTCATTTCATATTTTATTCAATTGTCCAGAAAGCTGAGTCCATGCTCAAAATCCCTGCTGTACAAGAGTGTACACATTTTTGTGTACACAAACTACTAACAACTGTAAAGCACTAAGCATCTGAATGTCTATCTTAGCTGAAGTCCTGATATATTTTAGGAGAACAAAAGTGAGCCTTAATTTATGAAGGCACTATGCTTTATGCTTACAGTTGTTACTAATTTTTACTGCTTCTTGATATCTAAAATACAGAATTCTTGTCACTGTTAGTATATGTCCTAAGGAAAACAGTCAAATCTTCAACATGTGTGCGCTGGCTAAACTGCAAGGAATGAGATACGATAATGATAATATTTTAAGATATTCAGTTGTGTAAAAAAAAACAACCACAAGGTGGTCAAACATTAACCATGTGGTAAACTTTTTTTGAGCTGCGGTGGCTCAAGTGGTTAAGACGCTGAACTGCAGACTGTGGAAGGTCAGTAGTTCAGCGGTTCAAGACCCGGGTGCCGCAAGACAGGGTGAGCTCCCGTCTCTAGTTCCAGCTCCTGCCAACCTAGCAGTTCGAAAGCAAGAAACTGCAAGTAGATAAATAGGTACCACTTCAGTGGGAAGGTAACAGCGTTGCGTGCGCCTTGGTGTTTAGTCATGCTGGCCACATGACCACGGAAACGTCTTCGGACAGCGCTGGCTCTTCGGCTTTGAAACGGAGATGAGCACCGCAACCCTAGAGTCGGATTCGACTGGCTTTCGAGCAAGGGAACCTTTACCTTTACCTAAACTTTTTTATGTTCCAATTTTTTCTTCCAGGTTCCCCATTAGGTACAAAGGCTTTGTCCTGTGAACAAAGTCTATGCAAGCGTGATAGCCTCTGCTGTGGAGTGCATTTCCTCTTGTGCTAGCACTTCCATTTATTCAAGATCAATCATTTTGAATGAGCCCTTCCACAAATAGAAGCACTGATGCAAGAGGAAGCCTGTTCCATGGTAGAAAGTGTCAGAGAACTTTCAAGCCAAAGAAAACAGCTCTACTCAGATTCATGGTTTAAGTTCTCATGCTAACAACCTCTCCCTCTCTCCTTCATTTCCTCTTGCAAATAGCTTGTCATTCTGTCCAATTCAGAAATCATGTTGTTGCAAACCAAGAAATTTTCAGTCTCTGAACTGCCTTATACTGAATCAGGCCATTGGTCCATCAAAGTTTGTACTGTCTACTCAGACTGGTCTCAGGCAGAGGTTTTTTCCTTCACCTATTGCCTGGTCCTTTTAACCCATACTCTTCTTCCTGCCTGGGATTGAAGCTGGGACTTCCTACATGCAAAGCAGATGCTCTTATCACTGAGCCACAGCCCCTACCCAAGTCTCACACTACTAGTTCGTCATTGGTTTTAAATGTAGGCCTTATTAATCATATTGTTGTGTCCTTTGTGATGGAAAGAATGGCTGAAGTAGAATAGGACTATCTTTTATCTGAAAACTAGAATGTAGACATGTTTGATCTTACAGTAGTACTGTTGGCTTCTCAGTGAATACCCATCTCTATACATAAATTGTTGTCTCTAGGGCAATTAGACAGGAGCACCAAGATTTAATGGAAGCTGTTTAAGACCCCAAGTTTGTCCCATATTTAAAAATCCTATAATTTGAACAAAATCTAGTTATTTGGATGAAAAGAAGCATTAACCACATAAAGGTGCATTCACACATTTGAAGACAAAATGCACACACAAAAGCTACAAATTCTTTTACAACGTTGCGTTTTTATTTTAATTAAGTATTTCTTTTTACTAATAATAATTTCAGCACAAAACTGTAACTTGCTCAGATATATATATATTAGCTGTATGTGTTTCCAGATCTTGGTGGAACAGCTAGAATCGAGTCCTGTAGCACCTTAAGGACCATCAAGATGTAACGATATGAGCTTATGTTTG